TTTAGTGGGTCTTGTGTACCTAACTCACTTAGTTGCTTTGGAAAAATCCCACCCTGAATGTCCAGATGAATTTCCCCCCAACAAGGGCAAATGTTGTATACTGGAATAGGATATATGCTAGGATCCATCTAACTATAATAAGGTTCCACTATAGTGCAGCAGGAACTAATTGTGGTGCAGTTGCAGCTGCATCTGAGTGACGTTCACTGGTATTTTAATAAGCACTTATTTAGGGAATTATCTTTCACATTTCTCTGACTGCACCACAGTCTCTTTGTATCCGTGTTGCTTCACAACCTTGCGCACAAATTCCAATGTACGTTGACACACAGATGGAAGTTGGTAACAGAGACACAGAGCTAATTTCCCTTGCGTGATGTTACCCGGAGACGTCAAGCTGTCAGTATTGCGAAGAACCGCAGATGACATGGAAACTTAAGCACCAGAGATTTTTTTTGAAGAGTTCAGACGTGGACCTCCCCCTCCTCCCCCTCTCCCTCACTACTGTTGTCCAAAATGTGAGACATGCTTTCTAACAGGAAATCAATATGGAGTGCAGGCCAGTTTGTTCAGCCTGCATTCGGCATGAAGTCTGACAAGAGACATCATAGATAGCAAAGCAGCTGTGGTGCCTCAGAGTTAGTCGCTGGTGTCAAAATACTGCTGCTTTTTCACTTTTTTTTTTTTTCTCATACTATATTGGATCATCCAAAATTCAACAATCTGGAATTAGTTTTGTATGGGATATGCAAGCCCAAACCAGCTTATGCATTGCTGCTCCCCTATGATAGCCCTTGCGTACTACGTGATATGGGGAACAAGTCTCTGGCTCTCTTGAATGCCATGTTTCCATGCATATGTAGGGCAATCTCTCTCCAGTGGGCTCCCTATCTTCATTTGGGGTATTGGCTGTATCCACTGGATCTTTTTCAGGATATATACTAAGGCTGAAGAAACACCAAGAAGGCAGCAGAAGCACAAGGATGCTTCACAAATGGGAGGTGGACCAGTTCTTGGTGTCCGAATCCATGAGCTTGCCATGTTCGCTAGCCAACACATGCATGTTGGGGGTGGGGTCTACAGTCACCTCTCTATACCTTGCAGAAGCAGCCACAGCAGTCCTAGATTGCTTACTGTAGACTTGGGGCTAAGGATTTTCCTCCTCAGACTCACTCAGGTATGACTAGGCTGCACCTCTGATCTGCTGGGCACCCTTAGCCAAGTCTGTGCCTCTGTTTTCCCTTGCACCCTTTATCTGGCTAGGTCAGAAGAGACTAGCAGATCATCTAGTCCAGTGGTTCGCAAACTTTTGTACTGGTGACCACTTTCACATAGCAAGCCCATGAGTGCGACCCCCCCACCCTTATAAATTAAAAACACTTTTTTATATATTTAACACCATTATAAATGCTGGAGGAAAAGCGAGGCTTGGGGTGGAGGCTGACAGCCCGCGACCCCCCCCCATGTAATAACCTCATGACCCCCTGAGGGGTCCTGACCCCCAGTTTGAGAACCCCTGGGCTAGCATATTTTGATGAGAAGCTCTTTGGCCCAAGGATGGTCTCTCACTATGTGTTTCTAACACAAGAGGTCCCTGTCTCAGTTGGGGCATCTAGGTGTTGCCCCAAAACAATTGATAGGCTGTTTGTTTGGGGTGTGTGTGTGTGTCTGTAAAACCAACAGATGCCTGTTGTTGGCAGGCAGGCGGGACCGAACCTGGGACCTCTGGAGCTAAATGCATGAGCCCCTACTATGTGAACTAAAAGCCATAGGCCTCTTAGCTAAGGCTGTAGAGCAGACTTATTAATCTTTCTCTCTAAGTGGGCTCAGTGCACTAGATGGGATAGCACACCACATCCAGGAGGTGTGTGGGTTACATGTGCTCTTCCTGAGGGTATGCTTTTAGGGGGTCCACATATCTTACAGACTTAATAAAACATGGAGAAACAATTACGTATGCAAAAATAAAGTGGTTTATAATACATGACTACAGGTATTATGTCACTGTTTATAAGTGAATGTCTTGAGCATGGCATGTATGAGGGGGGCAACAGAGCAAAACTTGGCACCTCTAGTCTCCATACCACAATGGCTGCTGGAGCTGCATGGCATAATAGCCCTCTCTGAGATATCTAGAACCACAGGTTTCAATCCTAGCAGGGGCGATTTAGGCTCTGTTTCCAAAGTAAATAAGCTGCATTCCAGGCTATAACAGAGCATGGGATCTTTCCGATTTGACCTTCAATAATCAAGGGCCACATAGTCCATTTGGATGAAGATCACATGCCAACGTTCATTACAGAATGGGGTTTACCCAGGTGCCCTGGCACCATGCTGTGTGCTTGGCAGCTGCCTTCTATCCTAGAGCTGGCTGCATTTCAATGGCAAAAGGTTTCCTATCTGAATGTCATTTGTGAAGCACTTTGACATGAATGGTGATATAAATTAATGCCTAATCATAATCTTACATTTGTATCAGGGAATAATGAAGAATATTTAAATGTGTTTTCTTTGTTTCTCTTCCCCCTTAAAAAGCCTTGCAATTTATCACTGTCTTTCTGTGATTTTTTCCCCTCCCCTCCTCCCCCACTAGCTAGAAATCAATGCTGAATTATGCATCACAGGAAAGAAAATGCATCACCACTGACAGCAGCATTGTTGCACAAGGTCCTGAAGAAAGCTGTTTACTTGTGGGTTTGTTTGTTTGTTTTTAAATTCAGGTTTTAAATAATTTTTCATCCAAACCAAATCTGTGACCCTGAATCTACATCTATGTACGTAGTGATGTTTCCCTGCTGTGGATGAGTCCTGTGGAGGGTCTCTAACAGTTGAAGTATGCAGTGTTGTTGTAGCAATGTCAGTCCCAGGCTATTAGAGAGACAAGGTGGGTGAGGTAATATTTTTTTTATTGGACCAACTCCCCTTGGTGAGAGACAAGGTGCTAAGCAGCTGGAAGCTCACTTTGACTTTAACTGGAATAATGGGTGCTCAGTCTCTCTGAAAATCGGGCCATTACTGTCCTTACACAGTAGAGAAGATTTCAAATGAGCTGAGTTAGCTAGAATGTGTTGTTTCATTATTTTTGTTAGCTAATCACTACAGATGTATCCTTAAGTATAAAAGTTAGACAATCCCCCAGCTACATAATGTGCACTTAATATATCCCCCAGGAGAATGTGGTATAAATCAACATTTATTTGATATACATGTAGACAGCACACAGTCATAACAAGACATCCAAATACAGAAAAATAGCAAATACACACTTTAGCCAACACAGAAGAAGAGGTAGTAACACCAATTGAGAACAGATACAGTAAAGTACTAAAACAAGAGTCTGCCTTCACTGCATCTTTTCAGAGCCGAACAGAGAATATACAAAATGTTAATGTTGATATCGATCTTGGAGTTGCTTTTAGTAGGATTCAGGAAATCCACCCTACCTTATCATGTACTACTTCACTTTTGTAAATACATCACTTGAAAGATGCATCTTCAGCTAACCAGATGTACCAAGTCTACATGTGGTTTATGAATGGAATGCTTTGGCTTCTGCAAAACACCAATGAGCTTTGTGTTAGGGGCTTGTTAGAGGGAGCAGGATGCCTGCAACTGCCTTTCTGTTGTGTTCTTCAGTGTCTAAGGCTGTGTTTTTCTATGGCTAGTGAGTATGTGGTTTTTGGTATAAATCTTGGTTGGGGATGTAGCTAGGGGTTTACAATAAAACAATGGCTTTGTAAAAAATGGACTATCTGAAGTGGTCTCAAACAATCGCTGTGAGAGATGATAAACTCATTTAACACACAGATTTCCAGGGCAGTCCTTTGTAGGATCAGAACCTAAGAGGTTTTGCACAATGGGCACTGTCCTGATGTTCACCGAGCCCAAATAAATGAAGAGGAGTCTACCCACATGGAGCTTATTGCAGAACTGCAGACTTACTCTGTTGGTTCTTCATCTTAGGGACTGTGGGTAGGGTTTTACCAAGTGCTTCAGGAGCACAAGTCTCCTTGACTTTCCAAGAAGCTGTGAGTGGACGACAGGGGATGGATCACTCTGATTGCCTGTTCTGTTCATTCCCTTTGAAGCACCTGGCATTGGCTACTGTGGGAAGACAGGATACTGGCTAGATGGACCATTGGTCTGACCCAATATGGCTGTTCTTATGCCCCACTATTGATGATATTTTTGGTATGTCCCTTAGACATTTCTGAAAATCTCACCCTATGTCTGTAATTGGCATATAAAGCACCATCTAGTTAGAGCCCTCTTTACATACATGTACAATAAGTCACTTCAGAAACCTTCCCATTAAATAGAATATTTCTGTTCTGAAGTAAATGTCTACCTTTTTAAAAGTTGTTGGTCAGATGATTTTTCTTTACAATGTTATTCTCTTAGAACCTCCTAGCCTTAGAAACAAGAAAATGTTTCATTTGAGAACGTAAACTTGCTGAAGCAGTTACTTTGTAGCTACAAGCAGAAGAGTACTCTTGAAGCCAGATTTCACTCCAAACCATGTCTGGCTGCCTCCTTTCCACCTTCCACCACCAACTCTGTGGAGATTACCCACCTTCCATCAGCACAAGAGCCAGATGGAGATTTTATTGAATCTGGCCCTAAACTTGTCACACGCGCTACTCCAGCATCATACTTACTGCTCCTCTCATTTAATACTGACAAAATATACAAACATAATTACAGATTATTTTGCTTGGAAACTATGCCTTTTCTCCCTCTTTCAGTTTTTCACGGCAATAGGGAGACTTCTACAGAGCAAAAGGAGTTTCCCTCACCTGTGTAACATTTCTTAAGAATAGTTATGCTAACATTTCATTGAACGTGATTATTTCCATTTAAAGCAGGGAAGTGTGCCAGTTCCCAGCATACTTCCTTATTTACCATTTGTCGGCCATTCTGTTCACTGGCAGCAAATCTCGCTCTATAAATTTCTTATGCCGTTTAGTTTTTAGCAGAACTGAGTACTTATTACGCTCTGACAAAACTCGGGTGAGAGACCAAGGTTCAGGAGCATCCCAATGCTCATCTCCCGAGTGGATTCACAAGCAAACAACTCCAAAGCAGGATGAAGACAGATGGCTGTACAGTTTCAGCAATCCCTGCTGGCCCACTCTTTCGACAGCATTGATTGTGGCCTCAAAGGAGACTGTACATATACCACCTTCTTGGCTATGGGTGGAATGGGAAGAGAGAAAAGGCAGAGTCCAGAAGGAGGCATAACTGGAGCCCATAGAATTCTCTTCATAATGTCACAGCTCACCCAGAGTAACTATTCCTCAATAGCACTACCCTAAACGTAAAAATTAAATTTGTTTCAGTGATACCAAGACTTTTGATCCACAACCGAGCTGTTATTTAGGAAGGAAAAACAGGCAGCAGCTGGTACTTGTAGAAGTGTCAAAGCCTGTGTCTTCCTTACCTGCAGCTGTTAAGATTTAGAACTATAATAACAAAATAGCCCTAAAACCATAGGTAGCGGCCATCTGTATGCCATTCATTTTCCAGATAGGCACATTTTAAAGCTGAGAGGGATTCTTAAGGCATGTTACATTATACCCTTTCTGAAAAACGGTTTGCCAGCCTTCCTGTTTACTGTATTGCTTGAGTTTGTACATTAAGACAGTGGGAAGAAAGCTGCAATACAAGGTAACAAGGGAATACACTGCTGATAATATTTATCTGATATACTCCTCCTCAGAGATGCCAGACAGGTCTTCATCAGTGCTTTCATCCAAATCTGGTAAATTGCCCCAAAGCAGTAAATTCACACCTGGAAAAAAGGATTGTAAATAACTTAATTTGTATTCTGACCTCGTTTGAGTTAGAGTAAAAACTGAATTCATTGCCACAAAATGAATGGCTCTAGTCTTTGAAAAACCTATTAGATGAAATAAGACAACATTGCCTAGGTCTAGGTTATTTTCTATTTTTATTCAAAAAGGATCTCTAGAAATATCCTTTTGAACTAGACGATAGTAGCAAGTCCTGTATGAAGTTATATGAAATAATCTTGTAGCTATTGGTAATCCCCTTATGGCCGGGTTACATTAATTGTGTTGGTTCGAGGCACAGATGACATTGTGAAAGTGTTTAAACTAACTAACCTTGTGTATGAGGAACAGAAATACAGATGGTCTAGTAAAAGGCCACATACTTTGGGAAGACCCAGAAGGACTGATTATGCGAGATACACCTCTACCCCGATATAACGCGACCCGATATAACATGAATGCGAATAGAACGCGATAAAGCAGTGCTCCGGGCGGGCGGGGCTGCACACTCTGGTGAATCAAAGCAAGTTCGATATAACGCTGTTTCACCTATAACACGGTAAGGTTTTTTGGCTCCCAAGGACAGTGTTATATCAAGGTAGAGGTGTACTTGTAGTTTGTGTGCCAAGTAGTTGTTTAAAAGGAACTCAAGCGAACTAAATAGTAAGAGCTAGAATTGGTTGTAACCTCAGCCTAAGCTAATGGGGATCAACAGAAAAAGTTATATAGGGTCACAGTGACAACACAGCTCAACTCAGAATAACCAGTCAGTGGAGGGTTGCTTAATAGCACAGTGAAGCGACACACACTACTATAAATAATATCCTCTAGCTCTGCATTTACACTTGTATTTGTGCAGTTTGCATAACAATATTGCTCAAAAAATCCTGATTCCCATCAGCAATAGGTTAGAGTAAATTTTCTGATCAATTAATCTTACAGCCCAGTGCCTTTTTTTTTTTTTAATATAAAGCCACACAAACTTGAGGTAACCTAATATTGCATTTTAGATACTTTTAAGCTCCAGGTGACATGAATAGTTTCCTCATATAGCATTCCTTCCCCACAAGCCTCTCTGCTGGAAAGGCAACTCAGTATAGACTTGCTATATACCTTAAGTAAACAGCATATGCGTTGAGACACCTTACTATTGGAGGGAGGGGGAGAAGGGAGGAAGTTGCCAGTTAACTCTCCTGTGAGTTAAATAGAACTTCCCTGTTCAGAATCAAGAATTCCTTACCAGAGGAGTCTAGTCTGTTTATACCAAAGACTGCTTGGCTGTGAAACATCCAGAAATGGCCATTGTTACAGGACAGCAGGCAAGGTTTGCATGGAGCAATCACATGGTAACCTACAACATTGCCACTAGAACAGCAAACAAAATAATGATCATGTAAGTTCGTGGATGAAAGCCAGTTTGCAATGAAGAACCAACTAAGCTTAATGTTAAACAGGATCTAACCACTTTACCAGGCAAATTGGTATAATATTCTTATCTGGGGAAAATTAAAGGCGAGTTTTTGAACAAGTGGTGCAAAAAGTGTCTGAATATATTTACTTAGAGAAAGAGGGGGTGTGGAGTTGCACACACATATATATTTACTTAGAGAAAGAGGGTGTGTGTGGAGTCTTGTCTTATTGCAGAGAACCAAATTCTGTCTGTTATCCGAGTGTACTTTAACTTAAGTCAGTGAAATTTGTTGTATCTATCATGGAATCTGATTGTTCTGTTTTAAAATAGAACTCCCCAGTGAAATCAATGGAGAGTTCTCCTTAAAACTGATGGTACAATAGGACCCAATAAAAGCTAAGTAATTGGATTGTAAGAGCTAAGTAATTAGGTTGGTGTATATATGAGCCTGATTCTGCTCCATTAAAGTAAATGGAAATTAAGGGTTTGAGTAGGAACAGATTATAGCCTAATTAATTTACCTGTAGTAGATTCCTTTCACTCTCAGAAGCACACCCAGGAGAAAGTGTGTGCTTTCTATTTCAGCATCTGGACAAACCAGAATTCCTTGCTAGCCAAGTCTCTCTCTCTCAAAAAAAACCACCTTGTTATTTTTAATCCAAGAACCTTCCCGTCCAAGTTCAAATCTGAGCAAGCTGAAATTTTAGGCATAAAGCAGACAAGTGACCCTTTTGAGCAGTTTAGCAGAATTTTTTTTTTTAAAGGAACAGTATCTTAAGTATCAGGCATTAATAAAAATAAACAACAAACTCCAGGAACTTTCATGTTAATTTTTTCCATCCGCTAGTGCAGAGTAGGTCTGCCAACAGCATGTTCTCTTACAGCAGAACCTCAATTTTATGAACCTGTTATACAAACCTACTGTAACTGAGATGTTCAATTTTATGAACTCCTGAATCCCCAATTAGTTCATAAAACAGGAGTTCTCCACTGTATCTGTTTTAGTAAAGTGGAAGATATGAGTAACTGCATTTCATTGTGACTTTATTCACATAGCTATCTCAAATCAATACTGAAGCAGTCTCTCTGGAGTCAGTCAGGTGCTATGCAAGTTTCCTATAGAACCCCACTTTAGTCTTGATACGCATTGTCCCATGCATTTCTGCTAGGGACTTCTACAATGACAGACTAACAGTCACGTCCAAAGGTAGTGGGGCCAAATTTCCACTGAGCAATGTTATATCAAATTCACTTCATTTGTGACCCAAGCGCTTGCACTCTAGTGGTCAGTAATGAGATGCTGCAATGTTGTTTCTGCAGCACATGCATTGCAGAGCAGGTGCTTGTATGATTACGAGACACATTGAAATGATATTACTTACCACTTTAAACATGCAATGTTCTTCAGTTTGCATTTGCAGATGTCAGTGAAATAGCAGCTTCCAATAAAGTCAACAGTACTGGAGAGGAAAAAAAAAAAAAGTCACAGGAATAGTTTAGACATTTAACATAACTTCACCCAGCCATCTGCTCTTGCTGTAAGCTAGAATTCCAACAAACCAATGTTTGAAGTTCTTACTTTTCTATTTCCATTTACAAACACCTATCTGCTATCATCCAATCTCCCTCTATCACCAAGCATAGTAGTATCAAGATAGCAAAGATTCCTATATATTCCACCAGCACACCCTGAGCCAGCACCACAGTGCAGATTTCAAATTTGTGGGCAGAATGATGGAGTGCTAGCACATTAGCCCTGCTGTACCCCTCCCTACCTCTTACAATGCTGCCTCACCAGCTCACCTCTAGTTGTCCAGTAGGATACCATAATACTCTATTGTCTAGGGTCATCTACTCAACACAGATTTCAGTTGAATCCCAATGCTAAGTGAATGTACTTCAAATATTCACATAGCTGACTCTTCACGAAGTAAGAGGAAGAATAGCAGACCACTAGTGTAAAGCAGGTATTTGAGGGCACCATTAAATAGCAAAAGAGGCAGTGGGGGTAAAATAAAGATACTTTCAACACAACTTTGAAGAGCTTCAAAGTTAAACTCATCACAAACCATGTGAGGAATAATAACTAATAATGCTGAACATTACATCACTGCATAGTCACTTAATTGCATATCTCCAGTTATCACACCAATAAACCAAACCTGGATTACTTCCTGGAACTGGTTGCTACATAGAAAGGAATAAAAGCACCCAATGTGGTGGTCATTTTTATCAAGTGAAGTCAGTGATCAAAAGGCATTGCTCACAAGAATCTCAAGATGACACTTTATCCCAAGCAATGCTATACTCTGCAGTTTGCACTGAGTTAGTCACCAGTGCTATAAAACAAGAGTGCTGGGTTTTTTTTTTTTTTTTTGAAGATCTTATTCCACTGTATGCTTTTAATCCATACTTGAAGTTGGTTCAATCCAGGCACTGTCCTGAGGCACACTTCACCAGGTTATACATGTAGCAACATGCTTTTTAATTCTACCATCTTTTTGATGGCCAATGAGGGCTTCTCCTCAGGCCTATAGTATGGGCATTTACTGCTATACAGGGACTTAAAGGATCAACCGTGAAACTTTTAGCAGCTGAGGTTCATAAGTGGTTGATGGGATCTACAACTCCCTTATATGTGCACACTACAATCCCAGCAGAATCTGCCATAGAGTAATTAAAAATGAAGCATAATTGAATGCTTTAGACCAAAAATCTGACCACCTGAAATTAGTGGGAAGTGCCCATCAGATTCTGCTTTAAAAATCCATTACAGTAATTGAAACTTAATTTTAGAGTAGGCTTATTTACATCTTTAAACTTCTAAAAATATTACACACAGGCAGAAAATAAAGTTACAAGCTAGCTGACAAAGTCCCTTTAATGGCTTTGCTCTATATATTTAATTTTTCCTGCTTTACATGAGGATGATGGCTAACTTCTTCTGAATTGTTTCAGGCTATGAAGGTTGTCTGGTTTTATGCAACTCAATGAACTGGCCCACAGAGGCTAACATCAGCAAGGCTCAAGAGCTGCTTTGTTGGTGTCCCAGTTCCATGCAAACAGTCAGTCCAGAGCTAACCATTTCAACTAGATGATAAGGCTTCAGTCCAGGGAACTGGGCCCCTCACTAGTACTTAGAGATGATAATTAGTCTTTTTATACAGGGAGTGAACTCAGTTACCAACTATACCATTGGGTTCAGTTAGCAACTCACTATCTTTGTCTACATTAAGAAACTTGCCTATTTACAATGGGTGTCAGCAGCAATAGGTGTAGCTGGCCTGGAGCAAGATGTAGTTTAACTGCAAGGGTGAACAGGTTCAAACTATGTTCAACACAGTTTCAGAAATGGTAGGTGATTTGATTTAGTCCTGTCTGTGCACTTGCAGTTAAACCATTTTCAGTACCATTTAATATGCTTGTTGCAGACACCCTACATCTTTGTCTGCAGGGAACCAGTATTCTTTACAGTAGGGCTTCCAGCAGTGGTAGGGTTGCAACAAACTTCCAGCATTTTTACCATTCTCACTTACGGTGTCTAACACAGAAAATGCTGTGCACAGGTTAGCCTAAAATCCAGCTAGCCCAGGTAACAATAATAGTGAAGACACCACAGCCAGGCTTCTGTGTGGGTAGTGCAAGTCTGGGATGGACTTTGGGTGCATCATCAACATCATCATCGGCGATCCCTTGACTCGAAGATGATCTCTACCACGTATTTACATATGGGTCCTGAGATGACTCAGGAGTCCAATCCTGGAATCATAGATCCGTCGTAATAGGTACAGACATTTCCTGTCAGGCCAACTGCCTGCTGGGAGAAAGTTCTCTCTCTTTTCAGGTTCAAGGGCAAGGCACTTCTCCTCAAAGCGACTTATTGCCTGATGGAGGATGTGGCGCTAGTGGGGTCAGTTGGTGGCTTGCTTCTCCCAGCTTGTGATATCCACATCAGTTTTCTTGAGATACTCTTTCAGTGTGTCTTTTGTAGTGCATACTTGGCTTGCTAGCCCACTGTGACACCTGAGCTGTGCTTTCTGCACTTCTGTTGTTACCCGTGCTTGCTGGATTCAAGTTAGCTTGGACAGACTAGCCCATGCTAGCTTTTGCTGTGCAGACATACCTTCAAACCTGATGATGATAGAGGCTGGTAGCACTTTGTCTACATCAGGACTCCCAGCTACAATGGTGGTAGCTCCGGTGAAGAACTACTTCTATAGTTCCTTACTATGGACATAGCCAGCTTTAGCACTGGGTCAGTTTCCTAGTGCAGACAAGGCCATTGTCAGACTTAACATCTGTGTGTCAATTTCTTCTTCTGGAAAGTAGGATAGTATTATCTAAAGCAGGTGTCACCCCAACCCATCTTCTGTGAGGCTGTCTGATTTTAATGTCCTCTGTAGAAAAGCTGTTAAGAGCAAAGTAATATTGTCAAATACTCTTCTGTAATAGGGTTCCTATGGTAGACCTTAGATAGGTAAGCATTGTCAACCCCCATCATTTTTAATTGGCTCTGTTTTTGTAAATGGACACAAACTAATATTTTCAAAGCAAACTGATCTTTCCTATTTTACAACTCTCTTTGACCCTGCAATTTTTCCTAGTTTTCCACCAGTTGGAGCACTAGTGTAGGCAGCCACTGGCATTTCAAATGTAGTGTTGTGCAGACCCTGCTTTAAGCCGTGTTAGATGAGATGGTAGGTAGAATGCCGACAACTGGTTTACACTAGCATTTCCACTGTTAGAACAGCAGCAATGGTAATATAGGTACAGACTTTGTGAGAAAAGGGGCAATTTGTTTACATAACTTGGTATGTACTGGGTTGAGTGCTCCATGTCCAATATGAGTGCTTCCATTCATTCTGTTAATGGGTGGGAAAAACAGTCCTGAGAGTTGAACTTCTGCCCTGTATGCAGAGATATAAGTTTACTTAAGAGTCTGCATGTTTCCTATTTTGATTTATTCTTATAATTTAGATCCTCAATACATTAGCTCCTACTCCAAATCTAACCACTCAGCCCTGACCAAACCATCATTTGCCATGAAAAAAAAAATCAATGATTATAGTATCAGGAAATCACATACCAGGAAATCATTTCCTGAGTCACTAAAACACAGATCGCTATTTTAACTTTATACTGAATATGTGGTTTACTGACTTTCATAAACTCATTTTTGTAGTTTAATACGTTTTTATTGTACACTAAAACTGTGGATTACATTTGTAACCACATGGATCGCTTTAACTCACATTTGACAACTAGCATTGTATGAAAGACATTTTACACCAGTTTAGAACATCTGTGCCAGGAACTAGGTGTCTATTGTAAATCTCAAATGAGACCACAGAACAATGGCTTAGTGATTAGAATGTTTAAAAAATGAACCTTTGTTTTTTTTTTAATTAATTTTAGCCCATCTTAGTTTATCTCCTTTTAACTCATGCTTACAGATTAACGCTTTGTAATTTACATTTTCTTAATATTTAATTTACTATTTAATATTTAAATATGGCTTTCCCATAGTTACTCATCCTCTGATTTCAGCTTCCCTTTGATCAAGTAACAAGAGAGAATTTTTTTCTTTAATTCCTGGCCTTGCTTAACTCTGAAAGCCAAATTGGGTTCTTTCTGCTTCTTTCATCTTCACCAGTTAATGCACTCAACAATTCTGTTGATCTATGAGGCCAAACAGAATACAGCTTGCTTTCCTTGACTGATATTGGTTTCTGCACCATTAAGAGTAAAAACATGTTTTTATCCATAAAATAAACAAATTTGACTTGAAACAGAGAAAGTAGTTGTATTTGATTGTAGTGACATTTTTACAGAGCCACTGAAGTAAATTTATTTTTGTCAGGCTGGACGTACATTCAAGCTATGTCAATGAACAACCTTATTATCCATCATCTAATTCAGTGGCTCTCAACCTTTCCAGACTACTGTACCCCTTTTAGGAGTCTGATTTATCTTGCGTACCACCAAGTTTCACTTCACTTAAAAACTAGTTGCTTACAAAATCAGACATAAAAATACAAAAGTGACACAGCACACTACTCCTGAAACATTGCTTACTTTGTCATTTTTACCATATAATTATAAAATCAATTGGAATATAAATATTGTACTTACATTTCAGTGTATAGTATATAAAGCAGTATAAACAAGTCATCGTCTGTATGAAATTCTAGTTTGTACTGATTTTGCTAGTGCTTTTTATGTAGCCTGTTGTAAAACCAGGCAAATATCTAGATGAGTTGATATACCCCCTGGAAGACCTCTGCGTACCCTCAGGGGTACACATACCCCTGGTTCAGAACCACTGATCAAAGTCACTAGCTGGGAGAGTGTGTGGCCTTAAGGGTAGAGTAGCAGAATGGGGATCAGGGCTGAGATGCATTTCCAGATCTAGTACTAACACATTCTGACATCTTGTGGCAAATCACTTAAGGGACATGGGTTAGATTTAAAATAATTTTAATGTATATTCTTACTTTGTTACTAACTCTTGAACAACAATTGTAGAAAGTAATCCAGATTTTTCTATCATTTACACTACTTACTTATTTGCAGTCCACCAAGCTTGGAATAGATCATTTAACTGTTGGAAACATCCTACTAGTCTGGGGCAAGGCCCCCCAAGTTTATACTGCACCTGTCTGGAGGTGTTACCCTACTACAAACAAAAATAGTCTAGATATTGACTTGAAACAGGAGTGAAACTGACACTTTCAAGTCACTTTCACTTCCGTTTAAAAGCTAGTTACTTTCCAGAAGGTTCTTAAATACAACCCTACAGTGATTGACACAGGAAAATATTTAAAGTCAAACACCAAGAAAATTCCACATTTTAAAGTTGAGAAAAAAGGAGTCTTGTTTATTATTTAGAGAGTTTGTATATATGTATTTTTTAAAGTACCATTCTGTGTTTGGACTGTTCCTCAGTTCCGGTTTCTGAAAATGGAAATAATAATACTTGCTTGCTTACCTGCCATATGCAATTATAAGGAGTAGATTGAGATCTTGGGGGGGGGGGTAGGAACTGGGCCTTCTTAATGGTTTGCATGGTACCTAACACAATGGGGTATTCCTACTGATTAAGGTCTTTGGGGGCTGCTGTTACATTAGTCAGCTGTTGAGATGCCTGCAGGTGGTAAAGGAAGAGGACTTACCTGGTGGGTGGGATGTCGGTGGAGTACAGGTCCATCTCTGTGTTGGCCAGCAGCACGGCCTTCATCCCCCGCGAGCTCAGCACCTGCTGGCAGAATCTGCAGCAGAGCACGGACACACACCTGTCCTTGAAGGTGAAACCACTAATGGACATGATGGCTCTGGACCGAAATGGTTTGTCCCCTCTTCCCAGAGAGCGCTGAGGGTGCTTCTTGCTTCTCTGAGGGCAAACTGACCACCAGGCCCCTTTAGCTGCTCCTAGCCCCCCCTTCTTCAGCTCCCTCTCTCTCAGGATCCTTGCCCCAGGGACTGTGCCCCTTCTGCTGCTCTTCCCACACTCACTGCCCCCTCCCTCAGGGGACAGCCCTATACCTGCACCCCTCCCTTCCCCAGGAGATTGACTCCCCTTTCCCACCCTGCTGCCCCTTCCAGGCTCCAACACCCCCCTCTCCAAACCCTGTCCCCCCCCCCCCACTCCAGGCCCTATACACCCCCTCCTCCCTACCAGTGGGGGCCTTATGCTCTCCCCTTCCACTGCCCTCCCCTGCCTTGTGCTCTCTCCCCCCCCCCCGCTACTGGGGTCCTGTCCTCCTCCCCCCTCCTCCTTTTCCCTCTACCAGTGGGGGCCCTGTATTCGCCCCGCTTCCCCGCCGCCACCACCCAGGACCCACTGCTTCTTCTCCCACCCCCACCAAGGGGTACCCAGGCTATGCTCCCCCTGCTGCCCCACCCCCACAGCCCCTGCTTACTGCTCCTCCCAGGGGCCGACCCCCTTCTCTTTGCCCCGGGCCGGCTGAGTCGCCTGCGTCAGCCCTGCTGCCGTTAGACCCCAACGGGCTAGCCCCAGCGAGCCCCTGTCTTCAGAACTGTCAGACTCCGTTTGAATCCCTGTCCTCGCTTCCCATTGGAAGAGAGCCAACACTCCCCTAGAGCCTGATTGGGGGGATTGGGGCAAGATCCGCCTCTCAGAGCAGCTAGGACCCGTCCCCCTCAGCTCCTAATTGGAGGAGCCGTGAGACAGAGGCGGGAGAGGGAGAAGAGTAGAATGGTGCTATTGGTTAGGAGGTTTGTCACTTCGACTCATCCTAGCTGCTGATTGGGGGAGACAGACGAGGGGGCGGGGTGGGTGAGCTAGCGCTGCGGAGGAAACTGACCGCGGGAGCCGTAGCTGGAGAGCCTCGGCTCATGGAGGAGGGAACCTGGCTGCGCCGCGCTGCAGGTAGGAGCTCCGCCTGGGGCTGAGGCGCGTGTCGCGCAGACCTCCGTCCTACCATAGGCGTGCCCCAGCCCATAATACTCC